TTGATCATATGCCATAGCATAATTCCTATACATGTGCACATCTTGGGTGCTTTACTCCCCATTTACATTTCTATCTTGGGTGCTTTACTCCCCATTTACATTTCTATCTTGGGTGCTTTACTCCCCATTTACATTTCTATCTTGGGTGCTTTACTCCCCATTTACATTTTTATCTTGGGTGCTTTACTCCCCATTTACATTTTTATCTTGGGTGCTTTACTCCCCATCTACATTTTTATCTTGGGTGCTTTACTCCCCATTTACATTTTTATCTTGGGTGCTTTACTCCCCATTTACATGTCTATCCTGGGTGCTTTACTCCCCATTTACATGTCTATCTTGGGTGCTTTACTCCCCACTTACCTTCTATCCTTGGGTGTTTTATCCCCCATGTACCTTTATCCCGGGTGTTTTATTCCCCGTTTACCAGATATTCCTGGGTTTACCTAACATCATGGTGTTTTACCCCCATTTACTTTTTTTTCCCTGAGGTCGTGTTTTACTCGCGTCTTACCTTGTGGGCAAAATTTATTTACTTGGCATCATGGGTGCTTTATCCCCATTTGCATTTTTCTCCCCGAGGTCGTGTTTTACCCGCGTATTACCTCGTGGACGAATTTATTTACTTGGCATCATGGGTGCTTTATCCCCATTTGCATTTTTCTCCCCGAGGTCGTGTTTTATCCGCGTCTTACCTTGTGGACGAATTTAGTTACTTGGCAGCATGGGTGTTTTATCCCCATTCGCATTTTTCTCCCTGAGGTCGTGTTTTATCCGCGTCTTACCTTGTGGACAAAGTCCAGTTTACTTGGCACCCATCGACTATTTCGTGTCATGTCTATCTGACGTTCTTCCAGATACGACGTGTCTCCTTTTCGATGTTCATCCGAAATGTTCTGATGTTTGTCTCTCCCTATATGTTTTCTGGTGAGTCTTGAAGATCCCGCTCGATCTCTTCAAGGAATGTCCTGAAAACTCTAGCGTCTGTCGTTTACCTGGTCCTGCCTCCGTGTGGATCATATGTTACCTTGTCACCACCGCGTGTCTTCTTCCCTAGTGCATTTCCTCGTTGCGCCGTCCCCTGTGACGTTGTTTCGTCTGCATCCGTGCATTTTTTTCATTTTCATCATACGCATCATATTAGATTCATGGCATTGTCAGCATTATAGTTCGTGTTATTTTGTCCATATCATTGCATATCACTGCATCTAGAGGCCAAATTTTCGGTTATCTGTATTTAAATCCCTTTCACCGCGATTTCTCGAGTCTCCGCTGCTCAAATCATCCGGTGAAGCTATTTAAATAGGGGCATCTGTTGCACCCCAAATTTGTCCTACCTTTACATAGTTTCTAGTGCCACTTTATTTTGAATGAATAAAATGGCACAATTGGCAAGAGACCGTGTGTAAGGAGTTGTGAGTGTGAGAGGTCGAGAGTTCAAATCCCACCTTCTTCACTTTTTGTTTTTCTTTTATTTTTGTTCTAACTTTTCTATTTTTCATAAAAAAAAATAACAAAAATAGTTTTTTTAATTATTTAATTATTATTTTCGTATTTTATTTAAATTATTTTTTTAAAAATATTATTTTTCACTTTTTTCCATATTATTCATAAAAAAACATCAAAAAATCAAAAAATTAAAAATATTAGAAAATATTTTATTATATTTAGTAAATAAATAGAGTTTTAAGTTGTTTTAAGTTTGTTTTAATTTAGTTTTGACTAATTCTTTAAGTTGGGCTTTAAAGTGGGAATTAGGTTAGAGCTAACCCTAATTTGTTACCTATATAAACATAAGTGATGGGAGGAAACTTCATTGACATCAGAAAATCAAGAACAGGTCATCAGAAAAGGAGACAAAAAGAAAAACGGCGGTCGTCAAGATCCGGAGGTTCAGAAGAGTTTCGAAGCTCATCATCATCACCTCCATTTGAGAAAGAGGAAAAGAGATCCAAAGAAGTTCGTCGAGAACCATTGCCGCCGGCGAAGAACAAGCGAAAGCATCACCAACCGGCAACTGAAATGTAAGCTTTTATGTTATCCCAATTAAAACCTTTTCTTTTTTTCTAACTAAAAACCCTTTTTGTGAATTATAACTAAAACCAGTTTTTGATTATAATTACAGTAAGTAAAAAACTTAAAACTTTTTCTTAATTAAAACACTAACCACTAATAATTTTTTTTAATAAATAAACAGTGTTTAAAACACTTTTATAGTTAAGTGAAAACATTTTTACTAACTTAAAATTAACCCAGTCCTAAAATTAAAACTTTTTTTAAGTATTAAAATTAACATTTTTTTTAAGTTTTAAAGATTAAAAATTAAAACATGTTAGAAAGGGTTAAAACTTTTTTCTAAAACTTTCTTTAAAATTTTAAAACTAACATTCTTTTAAAGTAAGACTAACGAACCTTTTTTTTTTATGTAAACTTCTTCTTTTAAAAAAAAACTTATGATTAGAGTTTTTTTTTAATTTAAGACTTTCTCTTTTAAAAATTAAAATTAAAATTAAAACTTTCAAAAGATAAAAAGTTAAAACTAAAGTTTTGTTTATTTAAAAATTAAAACCTTTTAAAATTAAGACTAAAATTTTAATAAAAAAAAATATAAAAATTAACAAAACAATAATAAAAATTCCAAATTGCATTTTCGTGTTTCTTTTAATATAAAATATGTTTGCCATATTTTCGTCTAACTTTTCACTAACGTTCTCTGTTTCTCTCCTCAGATTATACATAGATTATGATTCATATTTATTTTAATTTATTTTGTTCCATGGATGTAATTTACGCGAGGCCATGGTCGCGATTTATTTTGTTTTTGTTTTTTTTGGGATTTGTAATTTACGCGAGTGATCGTCGCGACGCTTTCTTTACTTTCCGCACTTTAATTTTGCCGTATAATATTTTGTCATGTTTGCATGTTTTACCGTTAGAATTCCCTCCGAAGGAATTAGGTCTAGTTGTTTGACCGCCGAGTCAATAACCCTAGTTTTAGCCGTCTCAAACCCTAATTAACCTAGGCGTCCCGCCGTGGACAAAAATACCCTTTACCCTAGTTTTAGGTCAAAGAGTCGCCGTACTTTGTTTTAGGGTTTCCCGCCGTGGAATCCCTAATTTCAACCCTAAATTTTTAATTAACAAATTCAACGTAGAAATAGGAGTTTCAAAGACTCCACATAAGTGTGTCCTTAAGATACGTTTATTCCCCATTGAAACCTTGACCACAGTCAAGACGTTTCTAACCTCCCTTTCGAGGGGAACTACAATTACTCTGATTCCATTCCCGTCAGGATATGTAGGCACAAGATGCGACGTCTTGCCGAGTAAACTTAGGACTAACCCTTAGGTCTTTAGGTCACTCTATCCCTTAGCAATATATTTCAAACAAATAATAAAATAAAAAAGCATACAATAAACAAAAGGTTCCTGTAGAGTACTACAGAAGTTTAGGGTGCTAGTACCTTCCCTAAGCTTAACCAACCCCTTACCTAGATCTCTTCCTGCATTGTCTTTACGATGCAAAATTAGGTTTTCCTCTTTTGACCTTTTCCTTCGGATAAATCAAAGAGCGGTTGTGAACTAAAGATGCGATTCAAATTAATTAATAATTTGAAATCATATTCTAACCGCAACAGTAGCTTAAAAGTACTAAGACAACATACACATGCATGCACGCGCACAGACACACACACACGCGCGCGCGCTTAAAACATCTTTCAAAATTATTTTCCATCCAAAATCAAGTGATTAAAATGTTGTCTAAAGTATTTTTATACTATCTAATTGATTAGAAAGAAAATGTCAATTGATTGGCAAAAAATTTTAACCAGCCAATCGATTGGAGCACTATGCCAATTAATTACAAATTCAATAAGGATAACACATTAATATCCAAACCTTCCTATTTGGGTATGTCAATCAATTATATTTGAGTTGTCTAGTCAATTGGAACATTTCGTAAATTGATTAGATAATCAATTCGGCCCATGAATTATTTCCTTTCTTGGGTTTTCTAACTACTATATAAGAGAGGCACGCTCTCACTTCATATCACACCACTTTCCAACGTTTTCATGTTTCTTAGGAATTTATCTCCCTCCCTGTCTTTAGAAATATTCTTATTCGCTTCTAATTGTCTTAGTGCCACTAAGTGAAGCTCTACTTGTGAGGAATATATTTTTGTAAGTGGTCGTGCTGGTGGTTTATATTGTTAAGGGTGTGATACCATTAAGATATTGTGTTTTTGTTCTTTAGATCAACTTGTTATAAAATTTACGTTCTTAGTTGATTAATATTTTCAGAAAAAGTATTGTTTTTGTTATTAAGATCATTCATAAATCTCCAAAAGGTTTGATAGTTTATATTGTGAATCAGATACCTTTAAACAAAGTATAAACGGTTTCTTAGCAAGAAACACACAAGGTTAGGGTTAATAAAGAAGAAAACAACAATGATTGGTTATTATACTGTTATTCTTTCCTTTCTCTTAGAACAAGATTACAAGTATACAAGAATAACAAAATAATCTCTCTCCCTTGAAATTAGGATTTTATCTTCCTATTTTTCCTTATATCAAGATTGAGAAACTAGTATCCTATTTATAAGAAAAATAGCACACTAACCTAATGGACTTTTTAACAATTACCCATTACAAGCCAACTTAGGGTACAAGCTAACTTAAACAATTGGGCTTACAAGCAAGGCCCAATTCAACATGCTAACAACCCTAGCAATATTGACTAATGCATGTTAGAACAAACTTCGACTGCAACACGCATTACTTGCGAACAGACTTCGACCATACTAGAGTTCGATCCAATATCTCACAGTTTAGCCTGTGTTAAAAGCTTCCATTTGGTTGGGGATAAACATGTTAAAATTTTAAAGATCATATTGTATTAAGATTCGTGGATATAACTTTCAAAAACTCAAAGTATATAATAAAAATCTTAAGAAGGCCCCAAATATGATTTTAGTATCTGTCGCACTCTAATCAAATGGTGATCAAGATAGTCGTTTCCTTCTAGTTTTATGTTATGGCTATACAACTTTAGTGTAAATAGTTAAAATGATGTAAATGGTTAATTTCCTACTCATTTTAGGGTATTACAATGAAACTACAACCTGGCTCAAAAGTAGCTCTTGTTGGTCCAAGCGGTGGTAGAAAGGTTAGTCAATATCTTGTGGCGCATAAATAGAATGGTATAGTTAATCAAACGCGAAAAATCACGCATGTGAGCCCGTTTCTTGTTTGTGCAATGCAGACTACAATTCCAAACTTGATTGAAAAATTTTATGACCCAACCAAGAGGAAGATTCTGATGAATGGTGTTCGTCTCGTAGAAATACCATACAGACATTTACACAAAAAGGTATTTTCTTTCTCCAAAATTTAATTTCTTATGTATTTCGATAACTAGAGTCGTTGTTTGATCTTTTCATTTGCATATCAGTATAGTGAGTCAGGAGCCTACACTCTTCAATTGTTCCATAGAGGAAAACATGCTTATGGATTTGATGGAAAAATCGACGATGCTGATATAGAAAATACAGCTGTAATCTTTAATGTCTTGTTTCATTGATAACACATGTCTTTCCCATCTTCCATTTCCTCACGACTGATACGTAATTGAATGGAGAAAATGGCCAACGCACATGAATTTATCATCGTGTTTTATTCAATAAGCTAAAATATGTGATGGGTTTGATAAAGTATATTATGGATTTGATCATGAAGGGGAGCACAATTCTAGTCATTTCTCATAGGTTATCAACTATTAAAACTGCTAATAATGTTACAGTTGTTTATGATTGTCAAATAGTTGAGAGTGGTACTCATGATGAGCTTCTCGACAAGAATTGTGTTTATATTGCATTAAGCATGAGACAACTACAAACAAAACCAAAAACCAAAATCTAATCTTAGTCTAGCAAATTATGTACAATAGTTTCCAGGAGATCACTCTAGTTTGTCTAAGGACAATAGGGGGGAGGGAGTTATTGGGTGTAATACAAATTCAGTTAGTTAGTATTCTCATTTAAGTTGTATTTGGAGTTAATTTGAGTTTCATTTAAACTATGATAGTATATAGGCTTTATTTGTGATAGAATTGTGTGAATCATATTGTAATCATTTTTATGTTGAAGAGTTACTTAAATTTTTCTCTCTCTTCCATCTTTATCATCTCCATCTTTTTCTTTCTTGTGCATCGACAATTGGAATCTAGAGCTCCGGTTAGAATCCATGAGAAACCTTAAGGAAAACACGAGTGAACGTGAGACATGTGAGATTTATTTCGATTATGAAATTCACATTGAATTAAAGTTCGAAATCATCGCAGAATCATATTTCTTGATTATGCAGGATTGGAAAACACGAGTGTTTGGTGAGATTTGAGTGAATTCTTTCACAAGATCGAAGATGAACGGTGGAAATGGTAGCTTAAAAATGAAGCTTCCAGTCTTTGATGGAAAGAATTGGAATAGGTGGATGATTCAGATGCATGTGTTGTTTGATGCTCAAGATGTTCTTGGTCTTTTCAATGACGATTACATAGCGTGTCATACCCCAAACTTTACCCCTTAGATGTCATCATCTTTTGCATATCATTCTAGGTTAATCATTCATGCACGGCTAACCAAATTATTAGACTCTGTTTATTTTGTTTCACTTCTGAATTACGATTTGCTGCACAAGATGTGATATATCAATCAAGGTTATCAGATTGGGTTACCAGGCTATGGCAGAGATTTTGAGTTGAGGTTTTGATTCTCAGCAATGTCATTGCCTCGTCAACATACACTCAAGGTGGAGATTAGGGTTTCTCACCCTTTGTGTTTAAGACGAACAAGTGTCGTTCAGTAGAGTTTCATTTGAGGCAATCAAGTTAAGCAGGTGTGCAGTGATGGTTGAGGTTCAATGATTTTGACCTAATTTGTTAGTCTGACAAAGACCCATTTAGATCATTTATGTGTGGTTAGAGTATTAGACTATGTTGAATTCAAGTGCGTCATAGCTGAAGGTCGTTAAAGGACCAGAATCGCTTTCAAGTTATGGTTTGGTGGTTTGAGTTTTGGTTGAACAGAGGAAAATATGATTTCATTCATGTTTGATTTGCGATGGATTTGATAAAAGAAACATAAGGGCAAGTTGTGTGGAAGATTAATTACGCAGGGTCACTTATTGGGAGAAAACAAGATCCAAGGTTTTTCTAGAGTGATTTGCAAATTCAAACTGCCACCAACTTGAATTCATATTTGATAAGGTTTAAAGTGCAAAGTCAAAGTTACTTTCAAAGAAAGTTACAAGACAACAAAGAGAAAATCAAAGGAATTAGGGTTTATTTATGAAGTTCTAATGTGTATTTGGTACAAGTTCTAGAATGTAAAATTTTAATTGATGAATATAAGGTTTATAAGCACAAAACTTAAACTTGCAAGATTCAAAAGTGTGTTACATGGTCAAAATTGAAGCAATTGAAGCAATTGAAGCAAGGAGTGCTTAGAACAATTCATCTTGATTACATTCAAGTTTTAAAATTACAAATTTGGAAAGGACACAAAAGCTAATCCATCTTCAATAACCAATTCATCAATCCTACAAGCTATACGCCAAGACATCTTCAAAAGCCACCAAGTTGTTACCTCCATTGTTCTTCATAACGTCTTAATTCACCAAGTCACCATCTTCACGCCTTCCATCATCATCTTCACGTCTTGTTTCTTCAACATCAAGCTTCAACCTACACAAGGCCAATTGAAGCAATTTAGTCCAAGCAAATAAATTATTTCAAAGGCCAATCATAAACCAAAATCACATTCAATTTCAAACATTTCCAATGCCATCACAACATCATAACCATAACCAAAATTCAAAAAATAATTAAAATCATTTTAATTCATGAACCATGACCCAAAATTCAACTTCATACAAAACCAATCCAAATCCATTTCAAACCATTCAATCATGTCATAACTAAAAATCACCATTCAAACCAATCCAAACCATTTCAGTTCACACACATTCAAATAGGATTGATGCTAATTACTTCAAACATTAAATCACAAACCATGTCAATTCAATCATAAACCAATTTAGATTCATCTTAAACCTACATCAAGTTCAAATGTTCAAAATATCACACATCCAATAAGTCCAGTTCAGAGTCATATGTACACCCATAAATCCAAATTTATCCAACTCAATAGAGACAAAATTCAAAATAGGGCAACTTCATAATAACAGCAGAATTGCATAATTATAGAGACAACACAAGGCAGTAGGTCACAGGTACATAATTCATAAAATAGGAGAGTTCAAACTAGCAGGTTTCACAGCAAAAAAAAAACCTTAACACAAATTTGGAAAAGGGATAAATACCATAGCAGAAATTCACAGAACACGGCAACCAAGGCATTGACATCAAAGACCAATTTTTTTCATCCAATAAGGGAAGGAATCGGCCAGAGAGAGAGAGAGAGAGAGAGAGAGAGAGAGAGAGAGAGAGAGGATTTTTGGAAAATCAAAAATATTAAAAAAAGACATAGAGAGAAGCAAAATGAGGGAATAAGAACACTTATCTGAAGGGAGCCTTGTTGAACGTAAATCGGACATCCCTTTAGGTACGTTTCTTTCTTTTTTATCTTCACGCTCTCGTCTAAGCGTTCGAGCTCATTTCACCGTATATTATCCTTTCCATTTATTAGTGTGTTTGATTTGGAGTTTTGATCTTGTATTTTGATTTTTTTAGGGTTGTTGATTCAAGGAGTTTGAGTGAGTTTTTGAATTTTTTGAGCCTGGATTCGAGCTCTGAAGGTCACGTTTGGGGTAGGTAGGGTTTTATTTTGAGGTTTGGCCGGAAAGAGGTGGCGGCACCACCGTAGCCGGTCGCCTGCCATCGTCTTCTCCGGCAGGTAAGGTTATTTCCGGCAGGGAAGTTGAATGCAGAGAAAGAGAGAGACGTTGGAGAGATAACGTGAGTTTTTTTTATTTTAGTGTAACGTTATGTTATTTATGTTTTATACTGATTTTTGTTTTTTGGTTTCTCAAAGTCCATCGTGCACGTGTCTATTTGGCGTTTGGTCTTGAAAGACGGTGACACGTGTCACCGTCACAACAGCATGATCTTCATCATCAAGCCACCCTGTTGATCTTGTGTGTTTCTCTTTATTCACTTCACCTTATACCCTCCTTCCATAGCTTGTAATGATTTGACTAGATCAGATTTTTTTGATCTGACAGTTGTAGGTTAGGGTATACGGGAGAGTCACAACAGACTCTCCACATTGAATCCATGCGCCCTTGCTTGGTTTGGGCCTAAGAGGGTTTTTTATTTTGCCACCCCCACGAAAGCCCATTGAGGTTTCTCTTTAAAAATATTTACTGGCTACACCCATCTTTACCCTTTTCTTTTTGTTTTATTTTATTTCCTCTTATTATTTACTTTGCTTTTATTTATTATTTTCTAAACATTCAAAAATCTATAAAAAAAAAAATACTTTTGAGATCCTTACTGCCTTAAATTATTTTTGGTTATTTTTATTCATTTTTATTAATCATTTTACCATTTTATTTAATTTTTTTGTGTAGTGAGTTTACTAAAATACCCTCATATTTAGTTTTTTGTTTGGGTAACTTCCACATGTTTTCTTAAGCTGATTTTTTGCCAACCTTTAATATATGAATATGGGATGTTTGAGTATTTTTTTAAGCTTTGATGTGTTTATCTTGATGGCTTTTAGTGGGGATTTGTTGAGCCTTAATCATTTTTGTGCTATGAACTTATTAGTTGTTCTTGATATGGTTTTGGTGCCAACATTTTGAAGATATTTTGAACATATAGCGTTGAGGGTATGGACTTGAGTTTGAGTCTATAGTTTTACTTTATTTGACTATTTTCTTATTTTTTTTATTGGTATGTCAAGTTAGGGATTGTTTCTTGCATGTTTGTGTTTCATTTGTCTGCTACCAACTTTTGACATATCATGGTGTTGGATCCTTGTTACTTGTTTATATCATTAGTTGATCATCTTGTTTTAGCATTGATATGCTTATGATATTGTTTGCACATTTGATTGTTATCATTTGCCTTTGAGCTCCTCTGTCAATACTTGTTGTTACAAGAGGAGGTATTTCCCCAATTTCCAAAGGAATGGAATATTTGTTGACTGCTATGTCATTCCTCTTTTAGGATAGACTAGTCTTCCTACTTTACTTCATGGCCTTGTTAGAGTTATTCCCTTGGTCTTGTTAGAGTCATTGTCCTCTCTTTAACCTAGCCTTAGGTTTAGGGTTTGTTAACCCTGTGTAAGTACCATTGTCATGAGTACTTCTCTCCCTCCTTGGCCTTGTTAGAGCCTATTAATCTTTGCAAACTAGAATTAGGTATAGAGTTTTTAAACTCTATGTGATTATCATTGTCATGAGTACTCACATTCCCTGTTGACTTTGTTAAAAGTCAGCCCTAGTTAGTTTTTCAACTTAGACTTAGAGATTTTGTTAACTCTATGTAAGTATCATGGTCATGAATACTTACTCACTCTTGGAACCTTGACCACAGTCAAGAGTTCCTCACCCCCTAGTTAGGTGAACTACGAATGCTCTGATTCCATCCTAGTTAGGATACGTAGGTACGAGATGTGATGTCTTGGTGGTCATACTTAATGTATATACCTTAGGTCTTTACCTTAGCACCTTTTCCTTAGAAATAAAAATTTAGCATAACACAAATACTTACAAGAGGTTCCTGTAGAGTACTACAGATACTTAGGATGCTAACACCTTCCCTAGGTATAACCAACCTCTAAACCTTAGATCTCTTAGATTCGTTGTTACGTATCACACTTGTGGTTTTCTTACATCTTTACCCTTTCCTTTGGATAAATCAAAGCTCGGTGATGAATTTCATAGATTTGTGATTC